CCTAACATCAGAAACTAAAGAGCGTTAGAAACCATCTTGTGTGACTGTCCTGATTACACATGAGGAAGCCGAGGCCAGAGAGGGACAATGACCATCTCACGGTCAGTGTCCTGGCGCCCAGGGGAGGGGACAGGACGGGAGGCTGGAAGGGCCGTGAGGACACGTCATGTCCTCCCCTGCCTCCATTTCCCACTTCCTAGGGGAGAGCTAGGTTCCCTGAAGCCTGAAGCATAGAAAACTCGGGGCAATTTTCATATAAAATTAGGTGTTAGAAGGGGCTCGTGCGAGTGAGGAGCCCTGAATATGTTCCACTAGCTTCCTGGGGAATCCGCCTCTGGAAAGGCTGGAGGGTGGACATGACCACGAGGTCTTCGCAGAAACACTCTGATTGGTGGGTGGGGGTGCTGCTTTGGGAGTGGTTTGGGAGGGTCAAGCTGGGGGCACTGGCAAAGGCCCCATACTGCCTGGTGGGGGGAAGGGGTAAGATCCCACCACATGAGCCCATTCCCCCGCCCCCACCCCTACCTCAGCCCCAGCCCCAGCCTCAGGATGGTGGGATAACACCTCCCCAGGGGCAGCCACGTCTGGAGATGTGGTCAGCAGAGACATCGGTACGGGCGGCACTGTGTTCCCCACCCCAGACCCACAGGCATCCCCAGTGTGCCCAGCTCTCAGGAGGCTGGGCTGAGGCCGGGCACACAGGGATGTGCTCTGAGGGGGAGGCCAGGCGGCAGTGTCCTGGAGGAACCCTCTCCCCAAGCCCCTCCCGTTCCTCCAGGCTGGCCTGGTCCACCTGCGGGCACATCAGCGGCTGGTGAGCTGCCAGCAGGAGTGTGAGCCCGGGAGTGTGAGCCTGATGCAGTCCCCCCCACAGCTGAACCGAGTTACCGCTTCTGCGTGCTGGGCTGAGGGTTATATCTGCAGGAACAACTACAGCTAACTCACCTCTGCTGCCTCATGGTGTCCGCAGCACAATCACCAACGTAATCACTCACTGACCCTGATGAGGCTGCTGTGGCCTGTTACTAATGCTATTTAGTAGAAAAAGAAACTTACAAAAGAAGGAACCCGTGCTCATTCCTAACACTGTGTGGCTTCCTTAAATACCCAGCATAGAAAACTAACATTTAGTGAGAACTTGCCACGGCCAAGCCATGGGCTAGATACGTTACTGGGTTTGTCGAATCCAATCTCATGTTACAGAAGAGACAGTCAGGTGAAGAAACTGAACTGCTGGAACTGGGACTCGAACCCAGAGCTTCATGACTCCCCAGCCTGGGATCTTGACCTCTGTGCTACGTCTGCCTGGGAAAAACTATGAAATTGGTTGGCACCTTCTTTTCCCTCAGTTAGGCTAAACCAGGTTTTGCTGCAGTGACAAGTAAACTGCAAAATCTCAAGGTTTAATATGACAAAGCAAGTCAGGCCACCCCCTAAATCTAGTAGCCATGCCACCAAGCCACATGGACACCTAGGTCACTGTGGCAAGGACAGTGAGAGATCTGGGTCATAGGGGAATGTTTAAAGGCCAGGCCTGTAGGGGCTTGCATCACTTCCAACCAATGTCACTGGCCACACTCAGCAGCGTGGTGCAGAGCCCAGCTTTACTACAAGGAGTCTCAGAAAGTAGGGTCTCCCAGGGTGGCCATGCAGAGAATAGGATGCACATAGCACTCCCTGCTTCATCATCTCCTTTTAATGGTCTTTCTTCTCCACAACCCACTCTCATGCCCACTGAGAGTTCCATGTACCCCTCCCTTCTGTGTTCCTTCTCACAAAACCTTGTACTCGGCAAGTAACCAAGCAGTCTCCCAGGGGTATTAATAAACAACACACGCAAGCTCTGGCTGGTGTGGGTCAGTGGATTAAGTGCTAGCCTGTGAACCAAATGGCCGCCAGTTCAATTCCCAGTCAGGGCACATGCCTGGGATGTGGGCCAGGTCCCCAGTAGGGGGTGCACCAGGGGCAACCACACATGGATGTTTCTCTCCCTCTCTTTCTCCCTCCCCCTTTACAAACATAAATAAATAAAATATTTAGAAAAACATAAATAACACATTGAAGAGTTTCTTCTCCTAAGACTATTTACTTTTTAATCAAGGGTTATTCAACACTGGAAGGCCTTGAACATCCAAAGGAATGAATATGTAATGGTGGAAGTTGAGGCCCATAACAACACTACTAGATATCTGAGAGACATCCACCCTGTTCCCTCAGACATGCTTCAGATTGAAGGGGTCTGAGCCACCTCCTGCTCTCCCCTTTCTCCCTCTACCTTGGTCTTGCTGGCAGGATACTGGACTCCTGGGACTGGCTAAAGCCCATTTTCCATCAAGGATTGAGTGGAGGCTGATAAAAGGGAGCTTACCCTTCAGTTGAATTACCAGTCCCAGAGCTCCCTATGCAGGGCTTCCTGGACAGTGGACCCTTCCCACCCCCCCCACCCCCCCCCCACAGCCAGGCTCTGCTGTCCTTTTGGAGGAAGAGCATCAAGAATTAGCTGTGACAGTACTCAATGCAGGGACCTGAGGATGGGGGCTGACCGCCGAGGCAGCTCCCCTTCCATGCCATTGGGGAGACTGACATGCTGTAATTAGGAGCTTCTGGACCCAATCTCCATCCAAGGCAGAAAGATGGACCCCTCTACACAGGACAGGTGCCTCCACCCAGAGGCAGCCCCTGGGGCCCAGCATTGGGGAGGCTCATGGTGATGCCAAGGCCCATTGCCCTGTTGCCAGAGGCCTGCTCCTGTTCAAGGGGCTCATCCCTGCTGCTCCTTCACCAGCCTCTTTCCCTCGGCTGCCCCACTCTTGTCCTGTTGCATCAACTCCAGCATCTTTAGAAACAAAGCACACCTGTCTTTTGTTCCTTTTTGCTCTTTTTATTCCTGAAACTCCATGGCCCATCACATGCCCATATGGATACACACACATGCACACTCAAACACAGGCCTGTACACAGGTGTGCTCAGGCACACACTGCCATGAATGCACAACTCCCAAATATACTGGCCAAAGACACACAGGTACACGCAGATGCAGAACACAGAGGCTCAGGTGTGTGAGGGTGCAAAGCCACACAGACATGCACATTCACAGATGTACATGGACACACTGGCCTATCCACAGATAACCAGGAATGTAGACAATATACACACACTCAAGCAACACACATACACACCCACACACAGGTTGTGCACATTCACCAAAAGATTCCCACATACACAGATATACACAGGTATACAAAGACAACTTGTGGACACACCAAGATACATATACACACATGTGCACATGAGCACCCACAGAAATACTTGTACACTTTCCCTGGTCCCCATGCAGAACTACAGCCCAGGGCTCTCTGCCCTTTGAAAACCCAGGGTCAGGTCAAGCTTCCCGCTTCACCAACTCCAGATCCTTCCTGGACCCCAGCACCACACCTGGCACAAGCAGCAGCCACAGTGTTCAGTCTCAGTGTCCCCAGGGTCTGAGAAAGTGGGAGGAGGGGCAGGAGTGGGGGCATGGGGCTACAGAACTGGGGTGGGACCCACACTGCTACCAGATGCCCTGACTTTTGCCCCAGGGCTCTCCTGGGGGAAGGTAGCTCCTTCCTGAGAAAGTGTTCCCTTCAGAGACCTAGACTGGAGATTGGGGAAATGGAAAAGGATTGGGGGGAGGAGCCACCCTCCTGGAAATAGGGAACATATATCAGAAGAAGATGGGGCCTTGGAACTCAGCCAAAGGTGACTGGGAATTGGGAAATAAGGGCAACTGTTGGGCCAAAAAGGCACAAGGCCACACAGGGCTATTCTCTCTTCCCTCCCATGTTGTTACCACAGGTGGGATCTCACTACTGAGAGAGAGAGAGACAGAGAGTGACAGAGAGAGAGAGAGAGAAAAGGAAAAAAAGAAAAAGGAAAGGAAAGAAAAAATATACCAGGCCCTGGCAAGTGTGGCTCAGTTGGTTGGCATGTTTTCCCACAGACAAAAGGTTGTCAGCTAGAGTTTCCATCAGGGCACTCGACTAGGCTGTGGGTCTGGTCCCCACACCTGGGTGCATATGAGGGCAATCTGATCGATGCTTCTCTCTCTGTCTGTCTCTCATCAAAGTTTGTCTCTCTTTCCCTCCCTTCCTCTCTCTACAATCAATAAGCATGTTCTTGAGTGAGGATGAGAAAGGAAAAAAGGAAGGGAGGGAGGGAGGGAGGAAGTCACAGGCCCCAAACAGAGTCACCTGTGCTAAGCCCACCCAAACCAAGACTCACTACCTAACCTAACTGCAGTCTCAGCCTCTCTCAGGAATGTTACCTTTAACCAGCCAATGTGCAACTATCTGGTCAGAACTAGTGAGGTAATCCTCTTGATACACCACTTCCAAACGGAGGTGGCCTCACCTCAACCATCTGTTCTTTGCTAGAACATTCCATGTGATCCCTTCTACCTATAAAAGCCTTCCCTTTGTACAGCTCCTCAGAGCTCCTTTCTATTTGCTGGATGGGACGCTGCCTGATTCATGAATCCTTGAATAAAGCCAATTTCCTCTTAAAATGCACTCAGCTGAATTTTGTTTTTTTAACACTCCTCCAATTCTCAAATCAGTGACATCACCCTCCTTTTGGATAGCCGCCCCACTCCCACCCCACCCCGAAGCCCAAAGAGAAGCAAACAAAGCGGTGGGGTGGGGGGGCAGTTCAGCGACGCCCACCCGATGAGGACCTTCCCCCAGTGGGGAGGGGGTGGGGTGAAAGCCCCAGCCAGGGCTGACAGGGGAACCAGGAGAGCCACCTAATCCGGGCCCCGCCCCCAGGTGGCGCAGCAGTCAAACACCTCAGCCCTTATCTCTTGTACCCGCCCCCCTTCACTCACCACTGGGGGTGGGGCACATTCTGCCATCTTTTACTTCCCTCAAAGTCCCACCCTGCAGGAGCGAGCTTTTCCAACCCCGGGAGTCCTCCAAAGGAACAATGAAGACACAAGAGTCAGGAAATGCGGTGGGCAGTTTGGCTTTATGAGCAGGGGAGGCTGGAGGCCCAGCCAGGGCCCAGGGTAGGTAGGGGCAGCCAGGAGGGGTGCAGGCGGCAGGTCCAGGGCAGGGTCTCCAGACCACTGGCTTAGGCAGAGCAGATGAAGGGCAGAGGTCTGCAGCAATGCTCGAGTCGCCACTGACCCCCTGGGGGTGGAGAGCACAGAGATGTCAGCTGCCCATCCCAGTGTGGCCAGTGACCTCATCCCTCCTCCTAAGTCTTTCTTGTCTGTCACCACGCATCAGGACACATTGGCCACACATCCCCACGAGTTCCAGGCACTGGGACTTCACCCCAGAAGGCAGTGTGCTAAGTGGGTGTCTGGGCCCCTGGTGAATCCTCACAACCATTCAAGGGGGTGGGTCAGTCACCAACCCCTTTCACAGGGGAGGGGCCTGAGGCTCTGAGGCAAGTGCAGAGCTGGGATGGGAATGGACTGTGGCCACCTTACTCCCCCCACATGGCCTCAGCACTGGACTGAGCTCCACATGTCCCACAACCAGGCAGGGGAAGCTGGCACACTGACTGTCAGCCATCCCCAGTTCCCACACCTCTCCTTCATCCCTCATCCACACCTTTCATTTGCACCTGTCACTCTCATGTGTCACATCAGTGGCTTCCTCTTAACAGAGGAAAGAATGGAGCCCCCCAGGCTCTGAACCAAGTTTTGTGAGAATGGAGAGCCCCCACCCAACCCACACACAGGGCAACCGCTAACCCTCCAACTCAGCCCTCCTCACAGACTGGACATTGGTTCTCCAGTTGTGGGGAGCTTGTGGGTTTGGGAAAGTGTGTTCAGGCAGCTCAAAGGGACAGTATGTAAGAGTCCATCTTGCCATCCCTTCCCTTTACCCTGGTGCCCAGTTCTCCTCACCTGTGGTGCATAGAGTTACACAGTTGCCACCCCCACAGTTAGGCTGTCCTGCAGCCCAGTTTGAATAATTCCAGCAGCTTCCATCATCCCAGAAAAACCTCCTGCATTGGCCCTGGAGAAGAAATAGCTGGGTCAGAGGCAGAGGTCCGGGAAGACAGATTCAGGGGTTTCAGAAAATGCCTACTAATATCCTTCTGGATACTGCTCACCCAGCTAGGAGCCAGAAATCCTAGAGACCCACCCCTGAGGCTGTGCAGGCAAGGCCAACAGAGCCATCACACAGAGCAGGCTTTTCTGCAAATATGAATCTCCTGTGGGTCTTTTTAACAGGCAGATCTTGATTCAGGATTCACAGATGGGACCCAAGATAGTGCCCTTCTAACAAGCTTCCAGAAGATGCTAATAACTGCTTGGTCCATGGACCACACTTGAGGAGCAAATACAATGGCACTTATTTACCCACTAGGCCGGAGCTACTCAGAGAGGAGAAGCACCCCATTTAGACATGAGGAAGACATTCAGCCTGAAAGTGACCAAGCTGGGCATGGAACCTATCTCCTGATCCCAGTGGTATGCTGGCAAGTGTTCAACAATCAGCTCTGGGGGAAGACGAGACGGCAGAGAGTGGGAGGAATGCTGATTTGTAACAATTGCCAATTTCCTTGGTGTGAACACACCCACTGTGGCACATTTCATACTGCAGGCATGAAGCCACTGAACAGAGGAGCTGAGAGGAGATGTGTACAATCACCGGTTCTCCTGATCCAGCCAAGCCAGCACCCACACAAGGTCACCTCAAATGCTGAAATGAAGCCTGATGCCAGGCAGGTGCTCCCTTGAGGCAATGGGAGAGACCTTCCTGTATTTGGGAGTTGGACACTCACTTACCGATCCCCAGATATAGCCTCCAATCCAGACTTGGCCTTGGTTGAGTGCACTGGTCATGCACTGCAGATGGTAATTGATGCCGATGTTGTGGATGGAGACGAGGGTACCTCTGTAGCAATTCCTGCAAGTATGCTGAAGCAGAAAGAAGGTGGGGTAGAGAATTCACAGATTTTTCTCCAGTCCTGGAGTCTCCATGAGACAGACAGCTCTGCATCCCTTGTCCAGTCAGAAATCAGGGATCTACTAGCCCCCTCATTCCCATCCCTTGGTCCTTTATCTGTCATCAGGATCTTTTTGCAGGAAAGAAGAATAATACTCAGAATAATCATAGCTACCATTTATTGACAGTTTCCATCAACCCAGGGACTTTTACAAATGCTTTCCATGTATTATCTTATTTAATTGTCACCACAACTCTAAGAGTTTGATACTGTATATCTCCACTGTACAAGTGAAAAAAACTGAGGCTCTGAGCACCACCACCCTGCCCCTGCACCACTGATGCTCCATGGAGGGCAGAGGTTGATCGTCAGGGGTTACAGCCAGTCCTTGCAGCTGGCTAGCCTGGTTAAATCTCCCCCATTGGCCTACCAGCAGTAATCAAGGCTCAAATACAAGAGCAGGGTTTACTCAGCCCACAGGAAAGGCATGCCTCAAGTACCCAGCTTGGGTGAAATGGGAGGCTGTGCCCTGGACCCTACAGGACACCTACTACATTAGCCCATACTACCAAGACATAGATTCAAAGCAGCTCTACCTAAAACATAGAAGCAAACATGGGGAGGCTGCCAAAACAAGCAGACAAAGAAAGATGGCCCAAATGAAAGAACAGATCAAAACTCCAGAGAAAGAGCTAAATGAAATGAAGATAAGCAACCTATCACATGCAGAGTTCAAAACACTGGTTATAAGGATGCTAAAGCAACTTAAGTGAGGACCTCAACAGCATAAAGATCCAGGCAGAAATAAATGATACCCTAATTGAAATAGAGAACAATTTACAGGGAAACAACGGTAGAGTGGATGAAGTCAAGAAGCAAATCAATGATTTGAAACATACACAAGCAAAAAACAACCAATCAGACAACACAAGAAAATAGAATCCCCCCCAAAATGAGAATAGTATAAGCAGCCTTTGGGACAACTTCAAGGGGTCCAACATTTGCATCATAGGGGTGCCAGAAGAAAAGAAAGAGCAAGAAATTGGAAATCTGTCTGAAAAAAATAATGAAAGAAAACTTCCTTATTTGGTGAAGGAAATAAACATGAAAATCCAGGAAGCACAAAGAGTCCCAAATGAAATAGATACAAAGGGGCCTATTTTGAGACATATCATAACTGAAATGCCAAAGTTTAACAATAAAGCAAGAATGTTAACAGCAGCAAGAGAATAGAAGTTAGTTACCTAAGAAGAGGTCCCATAAGACTCTCAGCTGATTTCTCAAAAGAAACTTTGCAGGCTAGAAGGAATTGGCAAGGTTTTTTTTAAAATTTTATTTATTTTTCTTTAGAGGGGAAGGGAAGGAGAGAGGGAGAGAAATATCAGTGTATGGTTGCCTCTCATGCATTCCCTGCTGGGAACTAGCCTGCAACCCAGGCATATGCCCTGACTGGGAATCAAACTGCAATCCTTTGGTTCGCAGGCCCACGCTCAATCCACTGAGCTACACCAGCCAGGGTGTAAGAAATATTCAGTCATGAAATGCAGGGACCCACAGCCAAGATTGCCCTACCCAGCAAAGTTATCATTTAGAATCAAAGGGCAGAGAAAGAGCTTCGCAGGCAAGAAAAAACTGAAGGAGTTCATCAGCATCAGAGTATTATTTTATAAAATGTTAAAGGGACTTATTTAAGGAAAAGGAGATCGAAACTATCAACAATAAAATGGCAAAGATACACACATATCAACAATGGCATCTAAAAAAACTGAGGAAACAAGAACAGACATAAATCATGGACATAGAGAGCGTTTTGAGGGTTGTCTGATGGGAGGGGTTTGTGGGGGAATGGATGAAAAGGTGAGGGGATTAAGAAGTATGAACAAGTATTTAAAGCATAACTGTACAGCATAGGAAATGGAGTAGCCGAAGAACTGATATGCCTGACCCATGGATATGAACAAGGTGTGGAGATTGCCTGAAGGAGTAGCAGGTGCTGGTTGGAAGTGGGGGAAAGGGGAAAAATCAGGACAACTGTGATAGCATAATGAGTAAAATACACTTTTTTAAAAGACAAAATACTGAAGCTCCGAAAGGTTGAAGTGACTTGCCTAGGTAACACAGCCTATGGCAGGCATAGCAAAGATTTAACACAAGTACATCTAATACCAAACCTTCTATCCAAATCAGTGATTTTCAAGTGCTGTCTCCTACCAAAAATACCATCATCACCTGGGACTTTATTGTTAATGCAAACTTTAGGAAAGCCTGATGTACTTAGGCTTTGAGAACCACTAGTCTCAGCGAAATAGGGAAGTTTGAATCCACTCTCTTACCCTCCCACTGGTTCTCCTTCCACAGTAGCCATGCTGACACTTACCTGAGCAACTGTAAAGACTTGGGGAGTCCTCACCAAGATGTAGCGGCAGGTCTTGCACCCAGGACTTCCCACTATTTCGACTGTGTCCTCTGTCCTGGGGCACTGCAAGTTGGTGTCGAGGGCACTTGGGTCCAACTGCAAAGCCTTCTCATCGTCAAAGTCATTTTGGTAGCCAGACGCCTCCACTTGCTCTTCTTCTGACTGAATCTTCTCTTCAGTCAGGGCCAACTCTCCCTCCTGATCCCCTGAACCTTCCAGACCCTGGCTCAGGTCTGCCTGTGTGTCTTGGCTGTGCAGGTGGGGAGCATGATTCTCTGGGAAGAAGAGACAACTTACCATCAGGTGGAGTTTTGCCTTCTTCCAGGACCGTGGACAGCTCTGCACAGCCCCCAATGGGGCCTTCCTAGTGCTGCTGTCTGGAGCCAGCACTGGAAGGATCTCCTCCATGTGGGGGTGAGGTGAGAACTCACACAAGTGCATGAGACCCTGCCACTGGCTGACACACATGTGTATTTTGGGGGGGGTGGGATATGAAGCCCTTCATCTTCACAGGTGAGTGGTTGTTACCTTCTGAAGGAGCCTGACAAGAATTAAGGTCACAGTTCTGAGTCCAGGAGAAATCTTACCAGAGAAGGGCTGGGTCAGCTGAAGAAGAAAAGCTGTGACCTGGCCCCAAGATAGCCACAAAGGTGCAGGAAAGAGGAGGAAAGAAAAATCTGGATGAGAAGGGAAGGGGAGGACTTACCCAGACGAAAAGCAGCAACACTCCCCAGCAGGAGAAGGGGCAGGAGCAGAGGGTGTTTCATATCCACTCAGTCTTGTGACAGGGACACAGCACCACTTTCCCTCCTTGAGGATGTCCTGTGTGTCTGTGCAGCCCTGTCACTTAACAGAGATGCAACTGTTTGTTTAATTAGTTGATTAAAGGACAATCTGGAGAGCTTCCATCTCACCCAATAAACAGAACCTAACCTGGAGACTTGGAAAAGATTGTGGGGGAGTCAGCTCAAGTACAGAAGTCCCTTGTACATGAGAGTTCCATCACTGTCCCTGGGACAGCACTTAGTCCAGACCATTGTCTCTGCAGGGGCAGGTCTGCTAGGGATCAGAGTCACCTTCACTCACACTGGGGGAGCAGTAAAAGAACAACAGCCATCATGGTCCGAAGGATAAGCCATATAGGCTTCTGCCCTCTTCCAAGCTGTGGACCCACCCTGCCTGGGAAACAGGAGGACCACTCACCTTGCAAGAGTCCGTGCCTCCACTCTCAGTGCCTCTGGCTCCTGAGCATCCAAGGCAGCCCTTATACTAGGCTTTTGGGGAAGTAGGAAGAAACTAGAATGATTGCCCCAGGCTAGGGGTGCTGGCCAGTGGAGCTGATAAGAAGACATTTGCTCAACTCACATGCTCTCTGCTGGGACTGCAGGGACCTGCCTCCCAGAGCTTACTGGCACACATGGGTGTCCAAACACCCAGGTGCTAGAGAAGACCCCACATGTCTACTGTCCACACTTACTTACCATTGGCACCCCAAATGGGCCCCGGCCTTTACTCCCCAGCAACCTCCCTCTGGTCAATATCCAAGCAAATAAAGTAGAGGATCCCAGGATGCTGAAGGACTCTGAGGCAGGGAGGGAGGGGGCCAAGGGAGCCTCATTCTCCTGAGTGGTTGTCTACACCAGGGATTTTACATGCATCCCATCCCGGAATCCTACCTTCACCCTCACTCCCATGAGCATGCATGAGATCCTCACTTCACAGGTGTGAAAAATGAGATTCTGAGAGGGAAAGTCACTTGCCAAGGTTGCACAGGAAGTGAGGGGCCTGAGATTTCTAAGTCTTTTTTTGGCTCCCAAACCGCCCTCTACCCATCTCCCCCCTTCTCCCATTCTTCCCACACCCTCCTTCCTGTCCTTCCTCTCTTCCTCTTTCTCACTCTTCTCCTCCCTCTTTTTTCATCTTGAGTGTGTGAAAACTTATGCTCTTTCTTCCATTATATGGGTCAGGATCAAGGTTCCTGGCCTTTGCATTATTACCATTTGCAGTCAAATAGGTCTTTGATGTGGGAGCTGTCCTCTGCACTGTAGAAAGTGTGGCAGGACCCATAGTCTTTACCCAATAGACATCAGGGGCACCTCCACCCAGTCAAACCCATTGTCCTCTGCAGACTGGTACAACTACTATGGAAATCAGTATGGAACTTCCTCAGAAAACTAAAATAGATCTGCCCTTTTGACCCAGCAATTCCACTGCTGGGACTATATCCTAAGAACCCTAAAACACCAAGACAAAAGAAACTTTGCTCCCCAATGTTCATATCAGCACAATTTACAATACCTAAGTGCTGGAAGCAACCTAGATGTCCATCAGTAAATGAATGGATCAAAAAACTATGGTACATTCACACAATGGAATTCTATGCAGCAGAAAGAAAGAAGGAGCTCCTACTCTTTGCAACAGCGTGGATGGAGCTGGAAAACATTGTGCTAAGCGAATCAAGCCAGGCAGTGAAAGAAAATACCATATGATCTCATCTTTAATAGGAACCTAAACAACAAAACAAAGAAACAAGCAAAATATAGTCAAAGACACTGAAATAGAGGGCAGGCTGACAGTGACCAGAGGAGAGAGAAGAGGGAATTTCAGGGGAGAATGGGAAGGGTTTACAGGAACAAATTTGAAGGACACATGGACAAAAACTGGGGGTGTGGGGTGGTAATGGGAGGGAAGTGGGGAGGGTTGGGTGGGTGGGCTGGAATGGGAGTAAAAGGGAGAAAACTGTACTTGAACAATAATTAGAATAAAATTTTTTTAAAAAATTGTAAACCCATTGTCCCCCCAAAGACAATTGAAAACCTTTTCACACATTTCCAGATACCCTCTGGGGAGCAAAGTTGCCACACTGAGGATCACTGATCTACAATATGCCATTTTGTTCAACCACAAGGCAAATCTCTGGGCCAAAAGGCCACAGCTGGACTGGAAATCTTTGTACAGAATCACTCACACACCCTGTGGGCCACTTGCCCCCCCTCACCACCACTCCCCAGCTCACACCAGCCCTCCATCACCACCAGGATCAGGACTGGGGGAAGAGAGTGAGGCACTCCTTTTAGGTGCAAGTTTTAAGAGGGCACCAAAGAATTCAGTAGTCAAGATAAGTACTTTAATGCAACCTTTCTGAAAAAATCAAAATAAATGCAAAAAATCTGTGATGAACAAAATATCAAAACTTGAATCAAACAAGCTCCACACAAGTGCACTGTAGCCCCAAAACACCCCTGCAACTGTGGAGCCCTGACTTTACTGGATATCCCTGCCAGGAGCTAGTGGCCTTGCCAGGGTGGCTGACTCAGCTCTGTGACATTCTTGCTGGGAAGTGCCTACTTCTTCTTTAAACCCCAGCCCAGCCCTCCAGGATCAGGGCACCAGGGACAGGTACCCCATGGGTGGAAGAGGCTTGGGCTTCTTTCTATCCTTGCTCTCTAAGGACACCTGCAAATGGAGAAGTATCTGAGAGGTCACTGCTGGGCCTCATTGCAGAGTCCCTAACGGTCTGGACTGCTATCTCTCTAGCCCAACTGACAAGACCCTCAGCTTATCAACCTGACATGGGTGGTGGGGATTGACCAATTCTGGGGCCCAAATTCTTGGTCTGAAATTTAAAACTTGAGGCCACCCTGGTGGAAGAGAGGGAAGGGCCAGACCCCACTCCCCATCCTTCTCCTCCCTCCTGAGGCCCAGACCAGGGGCACCCCATCACTCATGGTTTTGAGGACCAACAGGGACAGTGGCTCTCAAGAGCAAGCCCCTCTATGAGCTTTACACACACTGTTTCATTTGAACAACCTGTGTTACATGTGAGGAAATGGGCATCTGAGAGCCTGAACAAGTTGCCCAGATCACACAGCAAGTCAGAGACAGGTCTCAAAGCAGGTCTTCCAGCTCCTAAGCCTCCATCCCCATACCTACCCTTCTTCTGTCCCCTCTCACTCATCTCCCTTTCTCTACAAACCTTTCCCTTCCCCCCTGTTTTCTTTGCACTCAAACCCCAGGCAAAGATATTTCCATGGCTTTGATGACCACAGTGCTGTCTGAGTTAAAACTGGAAATAACATTTTTGAAGGGCCTCCACAGACCAAACACTACATTCCATGGAGGCTTTGACATCCATTAACCTTCATCTTTACAATCATCCTATGAATTAGGTATTGCCTTCACTGGTCTGCATACCTTCCAGAGAAGTTCAGAGAGGTTAAATGACTTGCCCAAGTTCATACAATTAGAAAGGAATAGCAGTTATGACTGTAGTCTGACTCCTATGAACCTGCTTCTCTGATTGGTCCCTCAGTCCACATTACCCACAGGCAGTCTATGCAAGCAGCCAATGTTTCAGCATCCATGAACCTCCAACTGTCTGGCTTACTCTTTGTGTTTATGTTCATAGGGTTGCAAACTCTGCCTCTTGTCTCAGGATTCAGTGCAGTCCCACATGAAGGACGGGGTGCTTCTCACTCACTGTCTTGAGAGGCAGTGCACTGTGATGCAAATGAAGGACAAGTCCCAGAGTCAGCCCCTCCATGTCTAAGTTTTCCATCTGTGAACTGAGGCTAAGGACAGATCCTACCTCTAAGGACGTTGTTTCCAGGAATGTTCTTAAGACAGAGCCTGGCCAGGGGGCTGGGGTGGGAAGCAGGACTGGAAACGTGACCCTTCTCCACAAATGAGCACTGAGTCTCGAGTGCCCTCCTGCAGCGTGCTTGCTGGGTGCCAGGAGCCCCAGGGATTCCATTGTAAAGACACGAGCTAGTTTCACAAAGCTTAGTCGTCCCCTTGCTGAAGAAGGGGAAAGTCAGTTTTTTTGAGATGTGAGGCCAGTCCTCTTATTTCATTAATTTTACATTTTAAATCTTTTTTCTGTGGATGTATAATATGTGTCCAGTAAAGCTCATAAGTTCTTGGGGAAGTTTTACAGAATGAATGCACCCCAGTAACCATGCCCAGGTTGGGATACAGAATATTACCTGCAGACTCCTCCTTCGTGTCCCCTTCTTCTCATTAATGCCCCAAAAGGAATTCTTACGGATTGGAAGTCACACTTCTGTCACAACAAAGACACCCAACAGAGGATTTATGAGGGACAAGACAAAGTCTACCTAACACTTAATACTGAGCCTGGCACCTGATAATGCTTAATAAATGCAATGTTTTCTTGTTCATGATCATCAATAACCAAATAAAGGGAAGCAATGCCTTCCTCCTTCAGGATGTGAAGTCCACTAGGGCTGGTGTGGCAGGTGGACACATCTACTTTGGCTCCACCCTGCACAGCAGCCAGCACGAGGCTGACCCCGCACAGCATTTCAGAGATGACTCCACCATCTCTGCTATCGGCAACCTGCTGTGGCACAGCTACAGTTGGCCTCAGCTTGATTGCAATCTCTTCCCCAACTGAATGTGCAGCCTTGAGCAAGTAGCTTCTCTGAGCTGGGCCACACTCAAAACATGAAAATTCTTGACTTGCCTCCCTCTATGACCCTGGTCCCATGTTTAATCGTCAGAATTTTCAGAATTTGAGGAGTCCAGGCAATGGACCCCAGACTTTCTAACCACCTTCCTGGTGGGGAAAGGGTCCAGAATGCCCTTTTCCATTCCTGTGGGAAGGGAAGTTGGAGATTGGGACTCCCTCATGTCCAACTGGGTTGCAGTCCTATGCCTCACAATGAACCCAAGAATATGCCTGCCTCCCCACAGTGCCCCCATCCCCACAGGATCATGGACCAGAGGCAGCCAACGTTTCCTCTGTGGAATCCCAGTGGTGAAAAGAATATGCTCTGAAATCTCATAGATAATGAATGATGGAAGAAAGTGATTCTTAGTTAAGATTGCTACAGAATGAGCTGGGCAAATACACCCTGAAATCAGATCACAGGCTGCAATTTTCATACAATAACAGAAGCAGCTGATACTGAAGAAGAACTTTCTATGTGCTCAGTATTTGTGGTGTTCCTCAACAACTCTAGGTGGCAAGTACCATTGTCATCTGTAAATTGGAAACAAAAACACTGAAGCTCAGACTGGTTATGTTACTGCCAGGTAAGCATCAAACCAGGATTTGAGTGGAGAGCCTGCATTCTAACCCTCCACAGCTCCCTTCCAATGTGCAGAATCAATGCACAGAGTGCTCATGGGGGACCCTAGAAGCTACTGAGGCAGGTGACAATTGGGAGGCATGAAGAGTGTCCTTCTTGGAATTAAA